GTGCTGTTGCAGAGATGGCCACAGATCCTAAACAAGGTTCTGAGCATCAACAGGCTTCTCTTATGCGTAAGTCCATGAGGCTGAAAAAGGGGTTTTCTAATAAGAACTAGCCAGATGTTTAAGAATAAAGAGGGGGGCTGGCAAGTGGCGTGCTGGTTAAGGGCACTGGACTCCCACATGACCGACCCCAGTTCAAGTCTCAGACCTGGCAGCTTGCTTTCTGACTCTCCCTTCCCCTTCTCTCTCACTCTCGCTCTCACTCTGTTCCTCCCTGGTCAAATTAAAATAATAAATACAGTTAAATAAAATAATTCTTAAAGAAAAAAGAATAAAAAGGGAAAACCCTGGCTCCAATACCTAATAAATGTCCCACTCCACAGAGCATGAAAGTCTAGCTCTTCATTTTAAGATCTTCACCCAAAAAACATTTACTGATCTCTTCCTACATGCAAACCATTGAGAAACACAAAACAAATGAGGACAGTGATTACTATTATTGAGTAGTATCTTACATTCAGTGAACGCAGAAACTTAAACACATTTCTCATCTATATAAGGAAAATGTGAGGAACTGAAAAGGCATGGACAATGTTTTGGCAAAGGTCTGGATGAAAGTATGAGGGCACTTCAAGAAATCTGTGGAAAAATGGAATTAAAAGATAAAAATAAAATATGTAAATCTTCCCAAGATCTATCATGTTCAAAACAGTTTTATAAGTGGGAACCAGCAGTTAGCGTAATGGCTATGTCACTGGACTCCCACGTAGTCGACCGCGGTTTGCGTCTCGGAGCCAGTGGCTTAAATCTCACGCCGGGCGCGTGTGCGTGCGTGCCCAAGATCCCGAGAGGAGAATGGAGGAGAAGGGATTGCGGCGTGACCACCCCCCCTCGGGGGGGTGATTTCTCGCTTTCTGTCTCTATGTCTCTCTCTGTCTGGCGAGCGCACGCGCCCTATAGCAAAAATCTCTCAAAAAAAAAAAAAACAGTTTTATAAGTGATGACACTAGGCATTTAGCCCATCCCTAAAGAGCTGGGGACCTTAGAAATTTAACGATGTCAGTGCAGCCTAGTTTACATTATTAACTGAAGAAATATGGGTGCCCTTTAAAGTTTTTTTAAAATTAGTAAACAAAAAGAAGACAGGAGCCAAACCAGGACTGTAAGATGGAGGCCTAATGATTCCCATGGAAACCTCACCAAATGGCCATAGTTCGCTAGAGGAACGAGCAAGAACTGCCATGGTTGACAAGGACTCTCCTGGAAGGCTTTCTCAAGCATGTTTCTGCTATAGCTTTGGCTCTTTCTCAGAACACTCATCAGAAGCAGATGTTACCATTCTTTGGCCCTTCAAAAAGGACGCAAAAATGAAAAGTTCATGATTACGTGTATGCTAATATCTTTAGACTAACATACAGTATATTCATGAGGGAAAAAATCATTTTCTATGTTGAAAAGATATACAGCAACTAGGGGAACAGCAGTTAGCGTAATGGTTATGTCGCTGGACTCCCATGTAGTCGACCACAGTTCGAGTCCCGGACCCGGAGGCTTAAACTCACGCCGGGTGCGTGTGCGTGCATGCCCAAGATCCTGAAAGGAGAATGAAGAAAGGATTGTGGCGTGGCCAACCCCCTGGGGAGTGATTTCTCACTTTCTATCTCTCTGTCTGTCTCTGTCTGTCTGGCGAGCGCATGTGCCCTATAGCAAAAACCTCTCAAAAAAAAAAAAAAAAAAAGATATACAGCAACTGAATGTAAAAATAAGAAAAAATCAAAAGTCGGGGCCAGCAGATGGTGTAGTGATTATGTCGCTGAACTCCCACATGGCTGACCACAGTCTTGAGTCCTGGACCCGTGGCTTGAAAATCACACCAGGTATGTGTGTGCGCATGCCCGAGATCCTGGGGGGAGAATGGAGGAGAAGGGATTGTGGCATGGTCAACCACTGGGGGATGATTTCTCACTTTCCTTCTCACTGTCTCTGTCTCTCTCTGGTGAGCACACACACCCTAATGCAAAAACCTCTTTAAAAATAAATAACTAAATAAAAAAGTCAACAAGCAAAATAACTTGAGCATACCAAAAAACTGTTGCTGTGATTTTGCTTTTTTTTTTTTTTCTTTTTTACTTTACCAAGGGAACATCATGAGTTCACTGGAAGTGGGGGAGGGTGATGAGAAAGAACATTCCCCCGTCCCCCACGCTCATGGGGGAAGGCCACACCACAGTCCCTTCTCTTCCATTTCTCCCTTCTTTTGGAATTTTGGGACACACAAGCACAGGCACCCACTCTTTAGTTTGGTTTTGAATTTGCCAGAGGGCACACCTAGCGAGAAAGGACACTGGAGAAAGAAAGTAACCCCATGAGGGATGACCACACCAGTCTTCTCTTCCATGTCTCCCTCTCTTTGAGATTCTCGGCACACATGTACACATGCCTGGTGTGTTTTTTAAGCCTCCAGGTCCAGGGCTTGAATGTGCAGTTGGCCATGAAGCCAGCTGCCTTAACCACCATGCCAAAGGCTGGCTCAAACTCTGCTCTTGACCAGTTGACCTGTACTCTGATGACATCACATCCACCTCTTGGTAGTTAGCGCTTTGATTGTGCTTTGTCTTCAGGATCAGACCGATGAAGCCATCTGCCATCTCTTGGTACAACTGTTTGAATAAATGCTTCGGGATCTTGATCTTACTTTTTAAAAAGTTCCATTGAAGGCTCTGCTCTTGTCAGCAGCTGATCTGAGTTTCCATACCCATTGAGCAGGAAGTTTGCTCAACTGTAGTGTTTCAGTCAGAACTGAGTCAGCTGAACCAAATGAGATGTCTGTGGTGTTGGCGGTTGGGTGTGGTGGTGTTGTGGTTGGGGGGTGGGGGGGGGGGGGCTGCTGTTAAACATCAGCCGTCTTCAATTACGGCATAATGAGATGAATTTCTTCCTCACAAATTGATATAGATGATCTGCCTCTGCAGGCATCATCCTATCTCTTCTTTTTTGTTTTGTTTCTTTGCCCACCCAAGGGCATGTGAGCGAGAGAGAGAGAGAGAGAGAGAGAGAGAGAGAAAAGGAGGGTGAAAGAGCTCCCCCTCTCCATGGGGCATAGTCACACAGTAATCCCTTCTCCTCCATGTCTCCATCCTGTCTGGGTCTTGGGCATGTAGGCACCAGGGGCACGCACGCTCCAGGGCCAGGCGTGTTTCTCAAGCTGTAAGGGCCAGGATTTGAACCACGTGGTTGGCCATGTTGGATCCAGCTCCCTTAACAACTAGGCCAGAGGGTCAACCCATTATCTTGTCCTTAAAACCAGTCATCCATTGATAAATTGCTTATTTTCTTGGGCACTGTTCTCATAATTTTTTCAGAAAGTATCAATGGTTTCACCATTCTCTAGACGTCACCATAAATTTGGTGTTTGTTCTTGCTTCGATTTTAGCAGAATTTATGTTGCTGTGAAAAAGGGCTCTTTTCAAACTGCTATTTTATCCTGTTTAGTGCCTCAAATTAGATTATATCCTGGCATGTTGTAACAAGTTAGAAGTTATTTTGGCACAAAAGATTTGTGAGGGCCAACTCCACAGCCTAGTGGTTAAGGTGAGCTGGACCCCACAAGTCCAACCACGGTTTTAATCCCCACCCAGTGGCCGGAAGAACACACTGAGTGCAAGTGTGTGTATGCCCCAAACGAACAGACAATAGGACAAAGGACTGCAATGAGACCGTACCCCACTGGGGAGTGCTTTCTCCTCCTCTCTGCGCTGTCTCTGGCAAGTGCACATGCATTCTGACAATTACAAACATTTTCTTTGGGCCAGCAGGTGGTGTGGTGGTTAAGGTGCTAGAATTCTCCCATGGCCAACCGCAGTTCAAGTCCTGAACCTAGCAACTTGCTTTCTCAACTCATGTGAAAAAAATAATTATAAAAAAATTACATAAATAATTCTTTAAAAACGTGTCTTTAATGAAACCCATGCATACTTTTTTCATAAAACACATTTCCTGTGAACTTCTCGAAGACCCCTTTGTGTATGCTACACTGTATGAAACTGGGGGGACCATGAAAGGCAGGTGTGAGTGCTACTGGGAGGAACTACTGTGGAAGGACACACAATGGGTGAATTCACGTAAAATCTAAAGTCGAGGAGCAGAAATCCCAGAGTGCTGAAAGCTGTGACAGTGGGACACTTCTCACAGGCAGCCCTCCACCTCCTGTTTTAGGACGGGTGGAAGCAAGAATCTGTTTAATAACACTAAATCAGTCTTGCAGTTGATCTCTGATTTCAGAATTAGTTCCAAGGAAGCAAGTGTGGGTCTGTCCTGGTGCCTACTCTATCCCCAATTCCTGGAACAATCTGACACAGAAGAACAGTTCAATAAAAGGCTTCTTGGTACGACAAGTGACGCCTCAAGGTCTCCTTATTAAACTCTTTACCCATATTTTCAGTAGCCATCAGCAAGGAGTGCCTGTACCCTTATCTACGTAACTATCCACCCATTACAGGGCTTTTACGTTCCTTTCCTAACAACTACAATCAACAGCTACAGACCTTAAGATTTTGCATACATAGGCTCAGTAGCTGAATAAGATTTCCAAAAAGTGTAATTACTGTGTGGATACCATACATCCAGGGATATTAATAGCACAAACTGTACCGGGGGCAATTAACACGTTAAATATAAACACCTTTAGATCCAGCTGTCCCAATACTAGGAATTTACCCAAAAACCAGATGCAAGCAAGGTTATTCACCATAGCATTATCCGTGCTAACTGAAGTATACGCTATTTCAATAAGGGTTTTTTGCCGAGATGCATTATGCGACATCCTCCCGATAACGGACTTCTACGGGCCAGAATACAGACTGAGAACGCATTTTTGTAGGAATGGAAGTAACTCCAAGACATACCGTTAAAAAAGGCAAGGTACAGAACAGAATCTATACTTGAGAAGGGGCTGAGGTGTCGAAAATGAACACCCAAGAATTGTCTGTACAACCCCAAAATACCTGCGAAAGAAGAAACAAGGAACTGGTGCCCTCGGACGCCTCTGGAATACCCTTGGAGCTGTGGGACTAGGAAGCGACATCTTAAACACGCGCGCCGCCAGCAGGTTCTCGGCCCGCAGCACAATGTTCCCACCCGCCCCCGCACGGACGCCTGACGTCCCCATCCACGCAGGCCCACAGCCGCGCGGACCGTCCCCCAGACCCTTCAGCCTGAGGCTGGCAAAGGCGCGCCGACCCCACAGCGCCATGTCCCCGCCGCCGCCCGGAGCCCGAGCTCCGCCCCGGCGCTCCCGCCCCGCCCCCCACGCTCGGCCCCGCCCCGCGGGCCCGCCCAGGTGGAGCGAGGTGGCCGTTCCCTAGAATGTTGGATCTGGCTTCTCGCTCCCAACGCCAAACTGGGATCCCGCATTTCTCTGCCGTGCACTCCCAACCGGAATGGTGATGATAACCAAAACTTCCTAGGCGCTTGCTATGGTTCAGGCATGACATTTACACTTAGTCCTCGCACACTACTGGGAAGGTACTATGGCCTTCTCTGAGAAGCGAAAATGCAGCCACGCTGCCATTGGCCGATCGACCCCAGGCGCTGGCACCTTCTTATGCCTCAGTGGTACGGCCGGGAGCGCGTAAGATCTGGCCACAACCCAGAAGAGACTGTCCGAAAGGAGAGGCGCGGTTACCCTGGCAACCAGCGGGCCGCGGACGTCGGACACTGCGCTCCCGGCGTGCCCCGCGCGGCGCGGCGCCGGAAGTGAGTGAGCACTTCCGGCCATCCCTGCGGAGCTGACATCTCAGTTGTGCCTCTGTCCTGGGCTCGTCCTGCAGTCATGAAGGACGTACCGGGCTTCCTACAGCAGAGCCAGAGCTCCGGGCCGGGGCAGGCCGCCGTGTGGCACCGTCTAGAGGAGCTCTACACGAAAAAGTGAGCGCCGAGCCGAGGGGCCCCGGAAATAGGGCGAGACGGAGGGGCTGGAGAGACGGGGGGCTTCCTTCTGGGACCGAGGACGCTCAGACCCGAGAGCAGAGAGAGTGGGCGAGGACGTGTGGGGAGAGCCGGTACCGGAGGAGGCAGGGCCGAGGGTGAGAGGGGTTAAGGAGTAGACCGCTAGGGTTTGGGGAGCTAGGAGTCCCTGCTTCCCTGACCGAGGGGCTGTCTCAGCCGTCTGGCCGCCCTTTCTGGCCTTACTAAAGGGGTTCAGGCTGGCCTGCGATTTTAGCTCTTGACCCCGGTCAGACAAGCAAACACACTTTGAGAGCCAGATCGCCACCCCTTTCGGAAACCATGGTCGTACCCAGCCTTGTCGTGTCACGGTCTGGAGCCGATAGACCAGAGGCCAGTGCAGTTTTCTTGTTTTCCATTTTGATTCAGTTGCCTGATTACGTGGGATGCATGCACTCACACCCTCTCCCGTTGTCCCTCCTTTCCATTCTATTTCACATTGCGCTCCGTGCTCCTAGAGACTTCTCAGAGTTTGGGTTGGTTTAAAACAGGATGAACTTCGGAATAATTCAATCGTGTGTTGCTGCTCACCAACCTCATTTAAAATGAATAGAATACACCGCTAGCCTCAGGCTAGAGCTGTTAGCCAGGAAAATACACCTCCTCTAGTAACCGTGTCCTGTTCATTTTAGCCTAGCGCCTTTCACGCAGTGTGCAATATACACATTGATGCTCAGCAGCCTTCTGCAATTAGCACTTGTTGAGAGAAAATTCTCAGTGTTTGCTGAATAACTGCTTATGTTGAGTAGCACCTGGTCGTTTTCAAACATTTCATCTGCGTTATTAAATACTAACCTTCGGTTTTTGGGTGTCACCGGTTTTGTACATTAGCTTGTGTCTTCCTTCAGTCATCCCAATCACAGATAAGGAAACCGAAGCTCAGTTTAGTTACCTTCCTTGAGATTCTCAGCTAATAAGTAGAAGAGCCAGGAATTCAACTTAGATGTACATAATTTCAAAGTTACTTTCTCCAGTCAGACCTTACGACGACAGCCTTTTGAGGTAGCCTAGACAGATGTGCTCCATTTCACAGCTGGGAAAATGGAGTCTCAGAAGTGAAGTGATCTCAAAGCGATATAACCGTTATAACCGTTCAGTAGCAGAGCCAGCATTCTCTCCGCTACACAGTAGAGACTGGTTAGTATTTGTTACATGGTCAGACCATCAAGAATGGGGGGGTGGCTGGGTGTTGGTTTATAGGTCTCAAGGGCTTTGTCTTTTCCAGGTTGTGGCATCAATTGACACTTCAGGTGCTTGATTTTGTGCAGGACCCATGCTTTGCCCAAGGAGATGGTCTCATTAAGGTAAATAATTTACCCTTTTATTCTCCTTAACAGCATTGAAAGATATATACCACTTTTATCTTTTTTTTTTTTTAGAGAGAGGTTTTTGCTATAGGGCTCATGCACTCACCAGAAAGACAGAAAGAGGTAGACAGAAAGCAAGAAATCACCCTCCGAGGGAACGGCCACACCACAATCCCTTCTCCCCCATTCTCCTCTCGTGATCTTGGGCACACACGCACGCATGCCCAGTGTAGTGTAAGCCACTAGGGCTGGTATTCGAACCATGGTCAACTACATGAGAGTCCAGCAACATAGCCATTATGCCAACTGCTGGTCCCAGAAAGATAAATATCACTTTTATCTTTTTGTTGTATTTCATTTTATGGTTTTTTTTTTTTGATGTAGAAGCAGATATTAAAAGGTTAAATAACTGACCATAGGTCACAGCTAATGAGTAACAAAAGAAGATTCAAACACAGACATTCTGGTGTCTAATAGTATGCCCTGATATCGATATTTTATTGCTATTTTTTGTTTGTTTATTTGGAAAGGTTTTTGCTATAGGGCACATGCACTTGCCAAAGAGACAGAAAGCAAGAAATCACCCCCCAAGGGGGATGGCCACACTGTAGTCCCTTCTCCTCCATTCTCCTCTTGGGATCTTGGGCACACATGCACACATACACACCCGGCATGAGTTTAAGCCACCAGGTCCAGGACTCGAACTGCAGTTGACTACATGGGAGTCCAGCAACATAGCCATTATGCCAATTGCTGGTCCCAATACTTTATTGTTTATAGATTTTTTTTTTAGTATTGCTCTTTTGGAAAACTTACTCGAAATTTCAAAGTTTTATACCAGTTAGGCAGTGCAAGTGAATATAGAGAGGATTACCTTAGGACTCTTAAATAGCTGCCATCACTTCCCTCACCCACACTGACTCTGCTTGCCGAAACTCTTCTATCTTGGACATTGTGGAAGATAGAACAGGGGCTGGAGGGGGAGTCCATGATGTCATGCCCCCTTGGTAATAGAGTACTTTCAGAATTTTATCAATAGAAAGAAAATTCAGTCTCTTTCCCAAACTTTCCTGATCCCCTAACAGAGCTCCACAAATTTGCTTACTGGTAGACTCCTCTTTGAAGTCTTACCCTTTGGTACCTTTCTCTGACTCTGAGTGAGTCAGATTTATACCAGCATTGTGGCTGATAGCTAGCTTCTTCATTGTAGGTCACCTCTCCCCAAGACATTGCTTGTTATGTGCTCAGTGAAACTTCCCAACCCTACTACCCCACCTCCTGGGCTTGTGAGGTCTTTCTCGTTGTTTATACCCATACATTTGGCATTTCACTCCCTGGAGGAACTGGAGGTCTCGATTTTGCATTCTGAGTTGTAGACTGTGTGGAAAGTGATGAACCAGACATGTCTTAATACTTGTTTCCTGAAATTCTGTCTCATAGTAATGGAGAACTTGTTCCTTGTTTTCTTATCTTTAAATCTCTTTCCTACATATGACAAAATATTCTCTTAACCTCCTGTTAATGTAACACTTACTCATGTTGGCAGATTTGAGTTTATTTTTTTCATGGACAAAATAAAACTTTAAGAATTATCAGGACTAGCAGTTAGCGTAATGGCTATGTCACTGGACTCCCATGTAGTCAACCGCGGTTCGCGTCCCGGACCCGGTGGCTTAAAACTCATGCCAGGCATGTGTGCGTGCGTGCCTAAGATCCCGAGAGGAGAATGGAGGAGAAGGGATTGCGGTGTGACCATCCCCCCTGGGGGGTGATTTCTAACTTTCTGTCTCTCAGTTTCTCTCTGTCTGTCTGGCAAGTGCACGCGCCCTATAGCAAAAACCTCTTTAAAATAAAAAAAAAGAAAGAATTATTGAGACCTAGCCCACATAAGTTCAGGATAGGTAGTATCATGAATTTGTAGTCACCAGAGGTAATTCTGACCTTCTGGATTTAGTGAGACTTCTTTTCTTTAGATAACTCTGTAAATTATAATAGGTATCAGGAATGTTAAAACATTCTCTTTTAATGAAGAAAATATCTTGATATAGTCTCTTGTGATTTAAAGACCCTTTTTAAATTTAGATGGCTATTTACTCTGCTCTCGATTTGACTGTCTAACTGCCACAGGGACGTTTTTATCTTCGTGTTGCAGAGGAACTTCAGGGGCTCCTTATCCAAAGCTGAAGACAGCTGGAGGCTCCCTGTCCCTACCTACCGTACCCATGCAGGGCCCTCCCTTTGCTCCGTTGCCTAGCCATAAGCTCAGGGTTGTTGTCAGTTCTCCTTCCCTGTGAAGCCCACACCTGAGCAAGTCTCGTTCATCTTCCCAGCTGCCTCTCAGACATCTTGTCTGTCCTCACGATCGTTCCCTCGCTGTCCTGTCTTTGCTACACGTAGCCTCTAACTAGTCTCTCCCTGTGCTCTCCTCTCTGCCCCAGCGTGTGTCTAAGTAGAAGTGTGGTCATGTGTCTCCATGGATGCGTCTGGCCTTCAGGACAGAGACCAGTCCTCAGTGTCTCCCCCTCTCCTTGTCCGTCAGAAATTCTCGGGAAGCATAATGCAGTCTTTTCTTCCGTGCTTTTGCATGTATTTGTTGCTGTCTGGAATGTTCTTCTCTCAGCTGCCCCTCTCCTATACAGATATCTGCCTAACTGTCCCTCATTTCTTGAAACCCCATTATTACCACTTGTGGAATACCCTTCTTTGACGCCTCTCCCTTTGGCTGACCCACCTGTGTGCTTTGTCTTCCTCGCTCTCCCACTCACAGTACTGTCATGGGTTTGGTTACAGACTGTCTTCCCCACTCGGCCAGGAGTTCCTTGTGTTCTACTGTTTGTCATACACATTCTGTCTGTAGTTCCTGGCAGAAAGTCAGGAAGTGCTCGAGTGTGTGCTGAATGGCTAGGAAATTTGGTCCTGCAACATAATTGGCCTGTAATCGTCTAAACTCTAAGGGAAGTCCATTACGTTTAGTTAGTAAACATTTCAAACTGATAATCTGTTTTGCTTAAGAATGGCTTGGAGGGGGAACCAGCAGTTAGCGTAATGGCTATGTCGCTGGACTCCCACGTAGTCGACCGCGGTTCGCGTCCTGGACCCGGTGGCTTAAAAATCACACCGGGTGCGTGTGCGTGTGTGCCCAAGATCCCGAGAGGAGGATGGAGGAGAAGGGATTGCGGCGTGACCATCCCCCCTGGGGGGTGATTTCTCGCTTTCTGTCTCTATGTCTCTGTATGTCTGTCTGGCGAGCGCGCGTGCCCTATAGTGAAAACCTCTTCAAAAAAAAAAGAATGGCTTGGAGGAAGAATATAGGAATGGTTGGGGCCACCTGATGGTGGGGGGGTTAAGGTGCTGGATCCCCCACGGCTGACTCCAGGTTCAAGTCCCAGACCTGGCGGCCTGATAACCATGTAAGGTGCGTGTGCGTGCATGCCCCACATCCTGAGAGGAGAATGGAAGAGAAGGGATTGTGGCATGGCCATCCGCCGGGGAGTGATTTCTCATTTTCTCGTTCTCTGTCTTTCTCCCTTACACACCCAAGGGGAAAAAAAAGAAAGAAAGAAAATTAGTTCTTTGGGAGATTCTAAATTGGTATTCTGATCCCCCAAAGCTACAGTAGAAAGAAATCCTAGTTTTCTTTAGTAATACATTCGTGATCGTCTTGTGAAGTTAAGCCCTAATGTGGGTTTGCTGTCGTTTAGTAGACGTTGTGCAATACTTACTCTGTGACGGACTTCGTGGTTTGCAAAGGCACAACTTGGTAACATTGACATCACCTCTCTAACTATGAGTAGTGTTGAGAGTCTTGATTTTGCAGAAAGACGTCCTATAATAACTCTCTGTTTTGGTTCCACAGCTTTATGAAAACTTCATCAGTGAATTTGAGCACAGGTAAAACCTCTCTGTCTGTTTTTACTTTGAAAACGAGTGCATTGAGGGCATTCGTCGACAGTGAAAGGCTGGTGGTTTTCGTTTCAGGGTGAACCCTTTGTCCCTGGTAGAAATCATTCTCCATGTCGTGAGGCAGATGACTGGTAAGTCTCCCCTTGTCTCACAGAGGAGCAGACCTAAGTAGGAGTTAAAATGATCTGGAAATACAAGTTAATTAAACGTCTGTGTTTTCATAGGAAATACCAGATTCTAAGTTACGTTTTTGTTATCCTTTCTGACCTAAACCTAAAGATTATCCTACCCAACAGGGTCTTGGCTGGTAGCAACCAGTCGGCAAAGGTGGCTCTTCTGACTTTGGTCTTTCATTTCTAGATCCTAATGTAGCTCTGACTTTTCTGGAAAAGACGCGTGAGAAGGTAAACACGAAGGGCGAGCGCTGTCATTTAGAGTGTATGTGCTGTTGCTCACCGTCCACCCTTTGGAGATCGCGAGGTCTCGTTAAAGTTAAGTCCTTACACAGGTTGGGTTTGTCAGCTGGCTGGCTGTGCATCTGAGGTCTCCTTGCTTTTCGATGTCTGTAGGTGAAAAGTAGTGATGAGGCAGTGATCCTGTGCAAAACAGCGATCGGAGCTCTGAAGTTAAACATCGGAGACCTGCAGGTTACAAAGGTGAGGTCGCCATAGTACGGACTAACGTTCGGCTTCAAAGGTTATTTAAAGCTATAGAAGAAAAAAGCTCTCTTTCCACTTTAACTGTTTATTTTTAAATTACAGAAAGGTTGTAAAAATGGCACAAAGCACTCTCATACCCCAACCAACATTCCTCACTGTTCGCATTTTACCGCTCTCACCTGATCACCCTGTGTGCCTGTGTGTGGGTATGCCTGTGTGCATGCATGTGCAGCTTTCCTAACACCATTTAACAGTCAGTTACTGGGACCAGCAGTTAGCGTAATGGCTATGTCTCTGGCCTCCCACGTAGTCGACTGCGGTTCGCATCCCGGACCCAGTGGCTTAGAACTCATGCCAGGCGTGTGTGCGTGCATGCCCAAGATCCCGAGAGGAGAATGGAGGAGAAGGGATTGCGGCGTGGCCATCCCCTCTGGGGGGTGATTTCTCGCTTCCTGTCTCTCTGTCTCTGTCTGTCTGGCAAGTGCACGTGCCCTATAGCAAAAACCTCTCCAAAAAAAAAAAGAGTCAGTTGCTAATGTCATGACTATTACCCTTCCACAAAAGGGCACCCTTGTGTGGCTGCAGCATACCGGCCACCCAGAGCTCCACGGTACAGGCACCACCACCGACAGGCCATCTGCCACGCCTCTGCCCGCCTCTGCCTCCTAGAGGTTGTCAGAGTCTCCCATCTGTGTCTGTGCTTTTATTTAATGCAGTTTGAGGACAGGTGTGGATATGGCAGTGAGACCAACATACGAGATCAGTCCCCTTGTTTGACCAGAGACTGCGTGTGTTTTGGTTTGGTTTCATTTGTCTTGGTAACCATGATATTAAAATAGAGGGGATAAGATTTTAAAGTGTTCATGTTTTCATTGCCCAACAAGAAAACACTCTTTATTGTTATCGCTTCTCAATCTGACCCCACAAGAGTACTTCCTGCATTTTGCCTTGAAACATTAAGCTGTGCCAGCAGCTGTAAACCACTGGGAAGAGCGCTGCAGCGGGCACCCACGTGCCCCGGCCAGCTCAGGAGTGAAGCAGCCAGTTGGAGCCGTGGTGCCCCCCAGAGCACGCTCCTCCCCAACAAACCGCCTTCTCGTGCCCACGTGTCTTCTTATGCTTCACCAGATAGGGGTGAGCAGCCCTGAGGAAGGCCTGACTTGCTGTCTGATGCTGGGTGTGACAGTCATCATGTCATGCTCGCCAGCTCTTATTAACCCTCCCTGGTGTCTCACAGCACATGTATGCAGCCAGTCTCCTACGGAAAGGACTTAGCTTGCTTTTTTTATGTCACATGCAATGCTGCTATTATTCTGTGCCTGGTCCTTTGTTTACATGGGCAGTTTCACCAGGCGTATGCCTGGACACCACAGGGTAAGGCATATGCATCTCCATCCTCACCAGATACTGTCAGGTGTTTCTCCCCAGCGCCTTATGCCCACAGCACCATCCAGACCCCACACAGCTCTGTTTCTGGATATTCACGGACCAGATGTTGTTGAGGGTGTAATACCCATTTCTCAATTACTAGTGTTTCATTGGCCGTTCCACTTGTGGCTCCACAGCTGTAAGTCACCTGTTAATACCGTCTCGTTCTTCTACTGTGTTGCTTGACTCCTCACTGATTTGTGAGAGTTTTTTTTTATTTCCGTGGCCATAATCCTTTGCAGGTTACACGTGCTATAAATATCTCCTCCCAATTCGTATCTTGTCTTTGTACTGTTTTCTCTGTTCTCCAACTAAAGTTTTTCATTTGAATGTAATTACATTTAGCAAACTTTTGCTTTTGTGGTTTATGCTTTTCATCTTGTGATACATTGCATTCAAAGCCCATTAAGTTAACATCAAAGGTGACTTTGCTTCCTGCGCGCAGGAAACCATCGAAGATGTTGAGGAAATGCTGAACAACCTCCCTGGTGTGACATCAGTTCATAGTCGTTTCTACGATCTCTCCAGTAAATACTATCAAACAATTGGAAACCATGCATCTTATTACAAAGATGCTCTGCGCTTTCTGGGCTGTGTCGACATCAAGGACCTACCAGGTAACGTGGGGCCATTGAAGTCAAGTCACACAGGAGCTTGTTCTTCAGACATAGCAGCTGTGAGGTTCTTAGAGGAGTGGGTCTCAGAAATTACTCGGACCCATTCAGCCCTTTCTGAAGTAAAGGTGGGAAGTGTATTTAATTTCTACATCATATTGTCCCTAGCATTTAATTCAAATGAAAATGAGGCTACGTCTCCTGGCCTCTTCACACTTTTCAAAGTCCCTACTGTTGCCTAGGTCGGAAGTACTTATGGGAAATACAGCAGTGTGAATACCTTGTAACCACCATGCAGGATGAGGGCATGTGAAACTCCTCTAGCTGAGACTCGTGTATGAAAACAGGTTACAGACCTGTAGGACTGTATTACAAAACATTTCGACAATGGAAAGAGAAGTGGCCAGTAAGTGTTAGGTAGAAAAGAACTTGGCAGTGGTTTAGACGGCTTTCTCAAGACTAGAAGCTCAGAAGGCTAGCTCTTCAAAGATGTTGGTACAGTTTCCACTTCGGATCTCAGGGAAAAGACTGAGAATAATTAGTGCAGTCGGGAAAATAAGGAACTTGTTCTGTGGAAGCAAAGTAAATTAACACTAGTCTGAAAAGAGGCTAAGTGAAATAACTAAGATAAATAAGAGGGGGGCCGGCAGGTGGTATGGTCGGTAAGGGCGCTGGACTCCCACATGACCAACCACAGTTCAAGTCCTGGACCTGTCGGCTTGTTTTCTCACTTTCCCTCTCTTTCTCTCTTACTCTGTCCCTCTCTGGTCAAATTAAAATAAATAAAGTTATATAAAATAATTCTTACTTTAAAAAGGATAAATAAGAGGTGATCCTCCTTCCCATAGCAGGTGAGGGATTTAAGGAACTCGTCAATCCCCGTGGTATAGGCCGAAGATAGGAATAGGTTCACCTGTGCTCAGGGAATGACCATTGCCTGAGTGTGCTCCCCACACTCAGGCCTGTGTGGTCTCTGGTCGCACTCTAAGGCAGCCCAGTGCTTTAGAAGCGGCCTCTAGCACCAAGGCTCTGTAATATAACTATTACAGAAATAGTTTCCTTTGCTTTTTTGTTGTGTGAGATTTTTAAAGCCAAACAGGACTGGTGTAACTGGACATTTGTTGTTGCCGCCATAGTGTCTGAGCAGCAGGAGAGAGCCTTCACACTGGGACTGGCAGGGCTTCTTGGCGAGGGAGTTTTTAACTTTGGAGAACTCGTAAGTTGACCCTGGGTTCAGGACCCTGACAGGGCGGGAGGGCTGGGATTCCCTCAGCTGACTGTCTTCGTCCTCACAGCTCATGCACCCTGTGCTGGAATCGCTGAGGAACACTGACCGCCAGTGGCTCATTGACACCCTGTATGCCTTCAACAGTGGGAACGTGGAGAGATTCCAGGCTCTGAAGACTGCCTGGGGCCAGCAGGTCGGTGTCCCGTGATAGCCTGGCCCTTGTTCATCCCCGTATCTGCTTATTTAGTCAATAAGCGTTCATTGAGCATCTTCACCATGCATGCCAGGCTCACAGGGAGGCACTGGGCAGAGAGGAGACTAAGACAGGCCCGTGCTGGTGCTCATAGAGCAGGGCGTTAGATGGTGAAGTGTTGGGTCGTCAGAAAAGTCATGACGGGGGTCATTAGATGGCATGATTAGATGGCTGGGCTCCCACGTAGTCAGCTGCAGTTTAAGTCCCACACCCGATGGCTTCAAACTCATGCCAGGCGTGTGTGCATGCGTGCCCAAGATCTGAGAGGAGAATGGAAGAGAAGGCATTGTGGCATGGTCATCCTCCTGGGGGTGATTTCCCACTTTCTGTCTCTCTGTCTCTGGTGGGTACATGGGCCCTATAGCAAAAATCTCTCTAAAAGAAAAAGAGAAAAAAGAAAAGTGATGACATACTTTTGTATGCAAAAATGCATCATGACTTTCCTACAACCCAATGCTTAGTGCCATGAAGGAGAAGTAAAGAGTGTTCTGAGAATAGAGTACAGACCCTTCATCCATGCCAGGGGAAGGGGCTGGCACAGAAGGCGTCCCAGAAGTGATGGTGCTCTGGACCTCCTTGGAGGTGAGGGACGTGGTACCGAAGGAGCAGCCAACAGAGGGAAAGGGACTTCCAGCATGGTCGCCGAACCGCAGGAGGGCGTGTGGGGCGGCGTGGGCAGAGGGGTGATGAGGGGGCGAGGCCACAGGATGGGGGAGAAGCAGTGCGGGGTGAAGGGGGAGGAAGCCAGCGCAGGCGGAGGAGCCCCTTTGGGAGAGTTGGAAGAGTTACTTAATAAGGACTTGAACTTCAATAGTAAGTCTTACTCTTTTAAAAATGTATTATGGTCGGGGGGAGCTGTGAGGTGGCGTGGTTAAAGGCTCTGGACTCCCACATGGTCAACCGCAGTTTGAGTCTTATATACATATATTATACATATATACACACATATATATTATATATATATATATATACGCACATAT